AAAAGGCCATTGGTCTCATGATATCACTGTATTCTGTGGTGTTTCAGAAAACTAGCAAGGGAAATTCCCAAATAAGGAAGTTGCTGGAAGACTGATTGACAAAATCTTAACTGCTGAGAGATAACTCAAACCTAGTAAGCATATGAATGATTAGACTCTGGATCTTAAAAGGCTCCTGCAGAATTCAGTCAGTAGTGCTAACTTACAAACCAGTCAAGGCCACAGAAGGAAGAAGTAGTTTGGATGTGGAAGTTGATTTTTTTTTTTTAACTTTAATAATAATAGAACAACAACAATGCCTTTATTACCCTTGTAATTTTATCAGAGGTTGATCTTCATCTTGATCTTGTATTGCCTGGGAAGCCACACATCGGCCCCTAGGTTGTCCTGTTCCTAGCGATAACATGAGGAAAGCAGACAAGCTGTATTCACTTGCTGGTGTGTTGCTGCTTTGGTAATTTCCAAACCTGCGCTGGCAGCAGTTGGCTGCTAAGTAGAACCCCATGTAAGTCAGAAGACTTAGAATGCAGATTTGTGAAAGAAATTACTTTATATTAGATACCAAAGTCCTTTATGTATATGTTATTTAACATGTGTAATCTTGGCTCTTAGGATATTCTAATCATGAATTGGTTGTGGTGCCTAAAATGCTTGAGAATTCCTGTTCACAACTCCTGGTCGCACAGTGGGTTAAAGCACAGTGCTGTGACGCTGCCTGGAGCCACTACAGCACGAGGTCTTTTCCCGGCCAGGGAGGTGACTCATATGGCATGGCAGACCTCTCCTGACCAGCCTGATGTTCCCCCCAACTGTGTATTTCACTAGATCTGCCTGGTCTGCTCCCTCCTCTCTCTGGTGAATCCTCCCATCCCTGCTTCTGGCCTGTATCCCAGTACTTGTATGCATAAATAAATAAATCTTTAAAAATATATAAATAAAATAAATTAAAATTTAGTATGGAAAAATAATTAAAATTTAGTCTGCAGAAAAATACTGAAAAGATACATTTAGGTAGTAGCAGTGACCACGTTTTCTAAAATATCCTTTATGGAGAAATAGTGATTCACTCCAGCACAACACTGAAAATTTATTGTCTCCTAAAAAACATGAGTGTGTAGTAGTAACACTGTATATGCAGACAGTAATGTTTTTCCACCAAAAGTGAACAAACTATAAATAACGTGTACATACATCATTGATTCTATTTATGCACAGTAACTGTATCTTTAGAGGCAAAGAGTTCTGAAGTATGACTAGATTTTGTTAACTACTATGGGGAAAGCAGGAATAAATGGAACTTATTTATTCATTTGACAAGTATTCTAAGCATGTATGTACCCGGCATGGTAGGGAATACAATTCTGAACAAAGTTGACATGATCTCTGCCCTTGTGGAGCATGCTGTCTGGTGGAAGAAGCTGACAAATGAACTATAACAATGTAGAATGTTAAATGCCGACTGCAAAAGTCAGTGTTCTCCAAAGACACAAAGAGATACCAAAACGGATGTCAGGCAGGAGAGAAATTTTCCTGGGTGACATGCTGTCTAAATTGAGGCTTCAGTACTATGGAGATGTTGGTCAGCTTGATGGGAGGAGTTAAAGAGAAAAGATAAAGCACATGTAGAGTTTTGGAAGACAGAAGCATGTTTCTTTCAAGGACTGAAAAAACGACATTGAATCTGAGTCTTGGAGAGGGAGGTGGTAACACAGAAGAGGAAGTGTGCAAAAGCCAGTTCATGATGAGTCTGTTCAATGTGATAAGGAGTAAAGACTGTCATAATGGCAACAGGAAGTCACTGAAAACATGTTGGTTGAGGAGATCAGAGTATCCTGTCTATAAAGTAACATGAAGGGCGGCCGACCACATGGGATTCTGAGATAGCAGACTAGGAAAGATCTTGGTGATATCGAGTTAAGATAGTGATACTGGGATTAGAAAGAAACAGAAGCACCACACTCTAGGGAGTGAGCTAGATGACTCTTGGCGATTGGTCGTATGTGGGTAATGTAGGAGAGGATCCTGGCATTTACTGAGATGGGAAACAGGAAGAAAAGTCCCTGGAGACGCTGCTCCAGTTGTTGGATATTTGACATTCTAATTTGATGTACAAATGTTGGAGAAGCAATTGAATAAGTGGATCTTCTAGTCTGTTTGGTTCTCCGAACTGAGATACAGACTGGAAGGTTATCAGTATGAAATGTAAATAAGTGGGCCGTGGCAGTGCTGACGTGCGTGTAAAGCAGTAAGAAAACACACTGCAGGAGAGGAACCTCAGAGAACACCAAGAGTAAGGTTTGGGCAGAAAAATAGGAATTTCCAAACACCCTAAGTCTATCAAGAATTCTGTTCACTTGTGTTTTAGTTTAACTTTGTGTTTTAGTTCTCATTCACCTCGGCCAAGCCTATTAACAGAAGTACTAGCAGATAAGAAGTCTTACTGGAATTTTTCTTTTGTTTCACCTTATAAAGTCATGAGTTGTAACAAACGCATTTTAAATATTCTGGAATCAAGAAAAATTTATAAAATTAACTGTTAAAATATAATCTACAAACAAACAGCCCTTGATCACTTAAAACCTACCTCTGACTATTCGGGGCTTGCTGCTTACAGCAGACCTTCACATATATTGCAGTTTCCTCTGCCTCACTGTGTAACTGTTGCCCATTTCCTGATCACCTGTAATGGTAGCCTTTAATGATGTGCATCTCAGTGACAACCGAGAGATTTTCTATGATCAAAGCATATGATCACATAGATGTCAGTCAGATGATGACTGTAGTCGGAATTTCCACATGCAAGAGATCCAAATGCACTTCTGGATCGGACCATGGGGATTTGCCTCAAGGTGCTTTCTTTTATATATATAGGAGAAGAACAAACAGTATGGGGGTTTCTAGAGTGGCCACTACTCCGGTGTGCTAACGTACTCACAGAAGACAGCCCTGACTTGCGAGGTTTCATGTTGTAAAACTTCTGCGAGAGCCCATTGCAGGCATCCAACTTGATGTCATTGAAGACAGAGTGGGGGAAAGTGTACCGAGCTGCTGGTCTAGGCCAGTGCAGGCTGGCTCCAGCACAGGACTGGTGGCAGGAAGGGGATGTTAGCTAAACGTCTGAGGACTGGATTCTATGAAAAATTCTGTTTTTACTGTTAGGAAATGGACTTATTCATCTATACTGTTTATTCATTGCTCTTGACTTTCTCCTTTCGGCCGAGGGCTGGAGTATGAGTCATAATACTCTAATAACCTTAGCACTGTGACTTCTATATCTTTATTTATCAGCAATAACAAATTCTAAAATTGTATTGTAGCTGAGTCTCAAGTGGTTCAGAATAATGTTCGGTCTAATTTCTTATCCGCGAGGCAAAAACAAAAACAAAACAAAACAAAAAAAAACGGTTTCTTTTCATTTCAGGTTATCAATATAATCTATATTTTAACATATTTTATAAATGACAATATTTTATTCCCATCAAATAAGCAAAACTTGTTTTTTTCCTATCAAAGCAAAAAGTTTGGTGGTATATTGCTCTGTGTAATAATATGTGCAGGAAAAATAGCAGCAAAATACCTGACTTCCTTATATGATTTAACATATACCCTCTTAAAAACAGCTGCATGTCTCTGACAGTACACTAAATACTATTTAAATTTATTTTAAAATATTCTCCACATTAGGAACTGGTGGGGTCAGAGCTGTGACCACTCACGCTTTATCTCTTTTATATTGGAAAGGGAAATTAAAACTCCCTGAAGCATTAGGAAAGAATGCACTTTTTAATATTTAAGGCAGATATTCATTTATAACCTTATGACTTACATTAAAAACCTCTCAATTCTACTGTACAAAAGTGAAGACACCTTTTCATGTAAGCTAGCCTTCCGCCAAATTTAAAAAGGTTACTGTAAAAATGTTGTAGATCCAATAAAAACACATGTACAGTATTTTTTTTTCAGTCTTTTTTTAGGTTATGCTTTAACCTATTTCTACAAATTTACTTTTTAGAGCCTTCTTGCTGGAATTTTTGTTTAGGGTTATTGGCCTAAACTCTAAAGTGAATATTTTTTGAGCTCTAATAGAGTGAATATTTTTTTTCTGTTAATTTTTGCCTATAGAATGTAAGGCACTGAGAACAAACAGAGCACATTTTCCAAAGAGCAATTGGGGAAAATGTTTAGTAAGTGGAATAGTAATCGCCTGACACACTGTAGTTAGTTCTCTGCCAAAGATAAACATGCCTCATTGTTGCATTTACCTCCTTTATGACCGTAATTCTATATGAGCATATTAGCCACCTCTCCTTTGTCTATGATAGAGTCTGTAAGACACATGTGTGAAAATTTTAAGTTCTTCAAGAAATTCCAAAAAATCACTGTGCCATTTTCCATTTTAAAAGTGTATTTAAAGGAAGGCCTATTTTAATATAAAACCCCAAAGTGCTGAATTAAGACATAGTAACATGGCTGACCAACTACTGAAGTGGTTTTAGCCTTAGAGGAATATTGTTACAATTGGCTGATAAGTTCCAAGCATTTGGTTTCATATAGTAATACTTTACTTCCAATACAGATATTAAAGAAAATGAACACATCTTTTCTTAAAAGAATAGTAAAGTATTTCAGCCACAATACAAATCTATTTTTGAGGACAAAAACTCATGCCAAGACAAATAAATTTTTCAAATCTTAGAATTGTTATAAAAGAACTAGAAAATGTAAATTTCTGAAAAAAGAAATCTATGTCCCTCAGGAAAAAAATATGCAACTTCTTTGATACAAGAAATAAACCATTGTGATAGGGTGCAACAAACTATGAAACTGGCTTATCAAACTTCAAAAGTTCACAAAAAGAATTAGCACCAGAATTGTCTAAAACTTCAAATAATATGCTCAATTGATTCCAGGCCCAAGTGTTACATTATAAAAATGTTACATTTAACCTGGGAAGTTTCCTCCGCAGTTATATATATATATATATATATATATATATATATATATATATATGTATGTATGTATTCTTTTTTCTTTTGAAAAATGTGTCACCTTATTTCCTCAAAATATTAAGGTAATATAGAGCAGTATCATTTACACTGTTTGAAGTGAGCAGGAACAATAGAAATCCAAATATTCCCCAAATTATACTGGATTATTTAGTGGGTTCTTGAATTAAAATTTATTTTTAGATCCCCATTTCATTCTTTTTCTTCTAAAATGTTTCATTAGACCTATTTGCAAGCCCAATAGTGTCCAATTTGAAATCCATATCTTGTTATTTTTCCTGCTCACTGTTGGTACTGTTGGCGTTACTTAAACCTTGGCCTTGGAATTAGGGGGCTTTAAAAGTGGGCACAGATCACAGGAGTAAAACAAGAGTTTTGAGTAAGCTACAAAATGTATATTAAACCCTATTAAAATCAATAATTGAGTTAAATTTTAAACAACATCCACTTAAAAATTTAATTACAAAACAGCACACAATTTGAAACAAGGCAAACTTTTCGGCTTTCATGTAGTGAAATATAGAACTTCACCAATTACACCTATGGCAACCAAATGTCAGCAGTTCGTCTGGCCTGATTTTACTGTTGCACATAAATAATGACTAGGCAGAGAACAGCAACTAGCCCGAGGGCCTGCAGGCCAAGGAACCACAGCATAAGCCAAAAGAAGAGGACTATGACTGGTTCCACAATTCTTTCTCCAAAATACATCCGTGTGAAGCCCATGTTGAGGAGGTTTTTATTCAGTTCACCAAAGAGTGTTCCCATCTTTCTATAGTCATCTCCATTAGGCTCTCCACGGTGGTTTTGTATGTCTTCAATATCCTTTAAAAAAAAAAAGACAAAACATAAACATAAAATTTGAAATAGGTGAAGGCCTTCTTTAAGTCCCCCCCCCCCCAAAGTACTGGGCATACTTTTGATGACCAATAAATACTTTGGGTTATCCCTTCTGATTAACATGTAAAATAGCTGTATCTGTACCCACCTTTTGGAAATACAGAAAACACTGATAAATAGATTTCTCTCCAATAAATACTGACTGGGTCTTGTTAGAGAGGTAGAAATTTCTTCCTAAATCCTGGGTTCTTTTGGCTGGTTTAATAATTACATTCACACAAGGCAAGTCAACAGGAAAGAACAAATTTAATTTTGTACGCAGAGGTTCATGGGTATGGGAACCTTAGGTGACCAAAAGAGGTAAATTGCAAAAAAACAAAACAAAACAAAACAAAAAAAACCCACTTGTGACACAATGTTGAAACTCCTTCAGGTTTGAACCTAAATTTAGTGAGGGACTAAAAGAGTTTATTTATATAGGCCAACAAGACCCTGAATTCCTTGTCTTTGGTGAGGAGGATGCTGGTGCAGGAGGGTACCTATCACCAAGATGATTTATTTTCTTGCACTGGCTAAACTTCTCAAAATAACTTTAATTCAAAATAGTCAATAAGCTACATTAGCACATCTTGGGGTGTGCTGCCCTGAACTCCAGCAACCCCCAATTACCAACCACTGATTTACAAGAGGAAGGAAGGAGCAGATTAATTTCCATTCATTTTCTAGTTTATTGGCTTTACAACAAAGACAGCTGCTTAAATGAAGATGTCTGCCTTAGTCTTATCGGTTGCCATGACTTTAGAACAACCTTTCTCTGCCAGCTTCCTGGTTTGGGGCTGTGCTCCAGACTACTCTGTCCAGGCAATTAAGCTTCTTTTTAATCTTTTCCTTTGACTCTAAGACTTCAAGGAGCCTAGCCACAGCTGTCTAGAACATGTTTTGGTGTGTTGTTGAGCAATCCTTACCTGTTACTGCTGTGATCGTATGGGCTTACCTCAGCTAAGAAGATTGCAGTGCAAACCCTAGCATAACTTTCTGTCCAAGTTTCACAAATGTCCTGAGTGTTCCTAAAGAATCTCATCAGGGGCCCTCCCTGGTGGTGCAGCAGACTAAAGAACAGCACTAGAAGCTAAAGCCACTTTAGTATGAGTTCGATCCCCGCCCCTGAGGTGACCCACATGGTGCAGCAGGCCTCTTCTGACCTGCACAATGCTCCCCTCAGCAGTATACTTCGTCGATCTGCCTTTTCTGCTCCCCACTTTATCTATGGTGAATCCTCTCACTGCCCCTGCACCTCTGGTCTGTACCCCAGATCTGTATGCGTAATAAATCTTTAAAAAAATGAAAAAAAAAATCTCATCAGGAGATTCAAATAGGAACAATTTTGTATAACTAACCCAAAACTCAACTGAAAAGTAAGTATCCTAGAACATATTTATGCATGCTCAATCATGCAACCCCAGAATATTTGTTATTTCTATTACATTCCAGCCTTATTACAATTAAGGTCTTCATGCCAGTTGTTAAGTTACTGTCCCTCAGCTTCAAACCTGTCCTTTGGGATTTTGCAAACATTCCCTGTTAGGTTCTGCCAATAGATAGATACTGTACAGCTTGAGAAGAAAGAAAGGAATTTGTTCTTCTGGTGGCTATTTTGATCCTGTTCTTCTTAACCTTGCAACAGTTCTTCATGGTGGCAGTTCCTTTCAGAAGCAGCCATTGATTTAAATTTAGAGGTTTTCCAATACTTGCAAAACCAGTCTCCACAAGCCTTCTTGAGACCCCAGATCTGAGACATGGGTGCCTCTTCCTTAGATGTCTTGTGAGAGTCATGAGCAGTAGATTCTTCTAAGAATGAGTTTCAGCTACACAAGGCCTCTCCCCCCACCTCCCCAATTTTCTGTTTTAGTAACCTCACCTTTCTACTTCTACTCATTGTCATAACTGGTTCTTTAGCATACTTTTTGTGCACTGTTTTTTTGTTCTTTTTTAAAAGATTTATTTATGCAAACAGAACTGGGGTACAGGCCAGAGGCTCAGGGGCAGCAAGAGGCTTCACCAGAGACAGAGTTGGGAGCAGAACAGGCCGACTGATGAAGTACACTGCTGAGGGGGAGCATTGGGCGGGTCAGGAGAGGTCTGCCACCCATGCGGGTCGCCACCGGGGATGGGGATCAGACTTGCACTGAATACTGTGGCTGGTTTGCAGTGCTGTGTTTGCAGTGCTAATTCGCTGAGCCACCAGGGAGGGCCCCAGCATTTGTATTTCAAACAAGCTTCCAGGTAATGCTTAGGACGCTGGTTTGGTAACCATCATTTGAAAACCACTGCTTTTTATTCTTTGCCTTTTGTTCTTTACTTCCTAGTTAACAATTCTTAAATTAGCTACATTGCCTTTATTAAAATAATCATTGTTAGTCCTCTTTACTAGATCCTAATAAAGTCAGAAAACAAAAGCTGTCATTTAGGTGACAGAGTTTGTAAATTATTACTTATTAAACTTAATTTCTTTTAGGATTCGTCACACTTCAAATCAGTACGATCTGTGGGACACCAACTTGTTCATAGTAGATCCAACATGGAGAAATATTCTTATATAAAAAATAAGTCTAGGTGTAGGGTGTCACATGATGACAAAAATTAAATACCATTAAGTAGGCAGTTGAGGCCAAAGGAAATTTAGTTAGCTTAAATAAGGAGGGGAAAAAAAGCACCATGTAAAAGAGTGCATGAATTTGAGAAAGTTTTGAGGCACAGCTCAAACAAGTGATTCAAACACATTAATTGAAACCAAAGCTGGATCATTTCAGTCATGAATAAAGTAATAAAAATATTTTTCATCTAAAACTACCTTATTCTACTCTACATACACAGTTTAAAATACATACTAAAGAGAAGAGAATTAAAAAATAAATTTTATTTGCAATCATCAGACAATATGCTTTCAACATCACTTTATGGTGGTCTTTTATTTTTTTTTTTTAAAGGTTTACTCATTCATACATACAAAACTGGGGACAGGCCAAAGGTGCAGAGGCTGAGAGGATTCAGCAGAGACAGAGTGGGGAGCAGAATGATGAAGTACACTGCTGAGGGGAGCACATGAGTCACCTCCCTGTCCAGGGATTGAACTCGTGCTGCAATGGCTGTGGACAGCTTTGTAGTGCTGTGTTTTAAACCCGTTGGGCCATATGGTGGTCTTTTACCATATAAAGGAATTTGTACAGAGCCTGGTGTCACTGAGGAAGTGTTAGAAAAATGGGGCTCAATGGGGCATCTATGTTGTATGTTTAAGTCAGAATTATTTTTGAGTTATACTTACATATAGTTTGAAAATTACCTTTGGATTTTTTTCTATCATAAAGACTGGGGAAAACAAAGTGCTGCAGAAATAGTTAGGACTGCAAATTCAGGCTCCAGCACCTTACTTGTATTGAGTGATCTTTACCAAATTACTTCACTTTTCTGTTTTCAGTTTTCTAATTCATAAAATGGTTTTATGTGATCCCTTTTGACAATGATTATGTTACTTGAGTTATAATTTATTTGCAGCATGAGTTTGATCCTCTGCCAAGATGCTGACCCACAGGGCCCAATAGACCTTTCCTGACCCACCCACTGCTCCCCTCAGCAGTGTTGGACATTCTGCCAGTTCTGCTCTGCACTCTTGTCTCTGGTGAATCCTCTCAACCCTTTCCACACTTCTCGCCTATAATACCTGGCTCTTGCATGCAGGCATGCATAAATAAATATCTTAAAAAAATAAAATTTTAATCTCTAAAATAGTTTTCTCTGATGAGCTGTGATTGGGTCAACTTTACATTTATCAACTTTTTATACTTTTATTTGTTCCATGATTATTATTATATTATTAGTATTATATTTGTCCCATGTATTAAAGAAAAAAAATTTAACTCTTGTTCTCACCTGAACTTAAGCCTTTATTTTCCTAAGGATAGGGCATGAAGAGTTCATGGTGGTTTGTAATTCCTTAGGTTTCTCATCTCTTTACTCCTCTAATATCTAGCATTGCTGATAACATTTCTGGTCTATTTTTCCTTTCTTTTTTTCTTTTTTAAAAAATTAAAGTTTCTTTTTCTATTTTTCTCTTTCCAGTTTCCTTTAATATATGTGTTCATTTTAATTTGGGGCTTTCTGTTGTTACCGAAACTTTCTATGACTTTTTTTTTTCAGTGTTTTTGTGGTTGCAGTACAAAGAAAATACCCTAATCTCACATGGCTCTCGTTCAAGATTTACTTCAAATTCTTTTACAAACCACCTGTGGGGTTTTTCAGGGAAAAAAGGAGATGCTGCAATACCCAAATCAAAAGAGAAATAGCTCCTAGGAGCTATTTCCTCATAGGGAGGCAGTGGATCACGTTCATCTGAGATGCTGGTAAGTGGAGCTGGGGTTAAACGTGGATGTGGGAGACCCAGGAATGCCTGGTATGAGCAAGTTGTGGCTGCTGCAAACTGTTGCTTCTGGCTTTTTATTTTAATTTTTTAAAAAGATTTATTTATTTATGCATACAGAACTGGGGTACAGGCCAGAGGTACAGGGGTGGTGAGAAGCTTCACCAGAGACAGACTGGGGAGCAGAACAGGCAGATCGACAAAGTACACTGCTGAAGGGAGCAGCAGGCAGGTCAGGAGAGGTCTGCAGCGCCATGTGGGTCACCTCTGGGGTGGGGCGGGGCGGGACCGGGAAGGGCAGGGCGAGGATTGAACTCTTGCTGAAGTGGCTTTAGTTTCTTAGTGCTGTGCTTTAACCCGCTGCGCCACCAGGGTGGGCCCTACTTTTTGTTTTTAATATGAAAATACCAAGCATACACAAAATTAGAGATAGCCGACAACCTGAGCCAATAATTATTCAAATTATGCCACTTACTGTATCACTTCTTAATCTGAAAAATCTAAAGACGAGAAAGAGAATAAATTCACCAGAAGAATGGCTAAAAGTGGCATATCCTCACAAGTGAGGTTATTTGTGAGGAAACATCAAAGATATGTAGCAATGCAGTAGAAAGGGTTCAAAGAACCCTTAGGGAGAGACACATTGGAACATCCTTGCATTGGTGAGACACAGTCAACCTCGTTAGTGTTTTCTGTGTCCAGGAACTCTCCC